TTTTCCGCCACCCCCATGATAGAGATCCCGCTTTTACCCTCATAACGTTAGACAACCAATAGAGGCTATGGTTGTGATCAGTGGTATTTAGCCCCCGAAAGGGATTGGGATTTTAGCCCCTTTGGAAATCCAATACACATTCATGATCCTCGAGTTTGGACGAACTCTCGGCCAATGTAATGATTAGGACTTTTTAGTGAGAAATTCTTAGTAAAGATACTTTAGTATTGGATCAATTTATTCATCTATATTGAAACTTGACACACACCATAGCCCTCATGATGATTAAATTATCTATTCTCGACTCATTTCCATTTTGGATGTTAGTTTTTTTTATCAATACACTTAAATTTAGTATATTATACAATTTGTATCAATTGTTAATTCTTGAAGTTTAAACTAAACCTCAACCCGTGGTCATTGTTTATATGTTGGCTTAGAATCCCAATCTAAGACACTCACACACACTATCGAAGATTATGGTCTTAACATGGTCGTTGAATGTGTAATTTTTAAAGATTTTATCACTTATATATTAATAATTGATAAAGAGTGTATGCAATACACATATATTTCAAGTGCATTAAAATGTCTTATCATTTTAAGAATATCGGTGGATTTTATTTTATTATTTGCATTAACTTATTATTTTATACAACATATATCAATTCGTGTTTCTCGAGTTTGGACGAACTGACAACCAAGTTTGAGAGTTGAGATTATTGGATAAAGATACTTGATTGCTGCATAAATATGTTTATCGTAGATTCTCAACAAATATTTCTCTAACCTTCACATATGTTATTTTTCAAGGAATCTTGTGTCTCATCCTAGGGTATGAAGTCAAAGTTTGTTAATAATCATACTTAAGTCATTTTAAAAATTTTGATTTATAATCTTCGACGATAACTCCAATCTGAAAGAAATTTTTTTAGCATATGATTTAGGACCTCAATAGAGCTTGTTCAATCAACACGATATAGAGCAAATATTATTAATGTGAACTTAGGACACATTATAAAATTATTGCACATGTGATTCCTCTTCATAAGGTAAAACATGATATGAATGAATAAGAAGTATTTTTTAAATAAATAAATGTAACTACTCGATCAAGATTATACTATGACATTTTGCTAAACAATACTTGTTTTATTTAATAGACATATACTTTACGAATAAGAGTTGTTTCATTGCAACAAAATATAAAGTAATATAGTTTATTTTTCAAAGGTAATTGAATGTCAAATGTTTATTTTCTCTTTTTCATATAGATTTTGTTTAATCAATAACAAAATTATTGTTTATGTGTATGTTTGTTTAATTTTTCATCAAAATGTAACTTATCTTTCAATATAAAAAATGAGTAGAAAATTTACTTCATAAGGTTTAATCAGATATTTTTTATATAAACAAATGTGATATATTTCACTCTCTGTTTTCTTATTTATATTTTGTTTACTTGACAAAAAAATTATTATTTATGTGTGTTCGGTTAAGTTTATCAACATGTACTTATTATTAAAGAACAAAATAAATGGATAAACGAAAAAGAATAATTGGATAAAATAAATGGAAACTATAAAGGAGAGAGAGGTAGCTCCATAAATACATTAATAACTAAATTTTTGTTTTGTAAAAAAGTTATCCAACTTGGCAAATTGTGGATCATCTAAGTGCTTATGTGGCAATAGATTGCTTTTGAATTGTCATAATATATTGTATAGATAGATAGATAGATAGATAGATAGATAGAGATAGATATAGATAGATAGATAGATAGATAGATAGATATAGATACAACGCTAGCCAATGGGGGGATTATGGGAATTTTATTTTTTTAAACGGGGATAATAATATCATGAAGAAGATTATATTGGTGAATCAATTAACTATTGCACAGTGGGCTGCGGTAAAAAAAAGTCAAAGTAATATGCCTACAACCCAGAATAGATTAATCATCGAGAATTGAGATGGAAAAAGAGTTGATTGCGGGGAGGCCAGGAACTCAATTAAGTAGGTGATACGTGAGAACCTCCATATATGCTTTGGAGGATAGTATTGAGTGTAAGATGTATATTGGTTGGATGGGTTTTACAGTAAAATTGGGCCAGGCATCATGAATGTTTTCCACATCAAATATGATTGGCGACACATAATAATTGTTTTGATGTTACAGATGCTATAGTATAGACTATAGACTATAGTTAGCTCCCAAGCAAGAGGGGCGGTGGGAGAGGGATAGAGGGGGCCCACCCTGGCTCGGGAGGAATAATGATAAATTCGGTATAATAGTTTATTGGATAAGAAAAATAATATGTATTTAAATAAGAATGATTGATCATTTGAATATTTTATGTATGTTTTCAAAGTTGTGTATTGACATATTCAATGTTTTTCTACCAAACTTTGTACAAATGAAATGGTACATATGATCCGCCTAATTTGTAAACATAATTTTATTTCAATTAGAGTTATGGAGAGTGTAATGGGTGGCTCTGAGTTACGAAAATGAGTAAATTAGTACAATAGTTAATTGAGAATGAAATTTAGGGCACTTCTAATTGAAAATGGTTGACCAAGAGATCATGTGTTCGAATCTTGGCGACTCCGTTTGTTAAGCACATTATATTCGAATTGGAAAAAACTTCAAGCACGTATAAGTTGGTTTTCGTTTGTGGGAAAGTATTAGTAAATACTAAATATTGTAAGTTCCATTAATAAAACTTTCGCAACAAATCGACATATTGATACTAAATGGTATTGACAAAGAACACCATTAAAAAACAAATGTCTAACTAAATCATGAATAACTTTTTGATATATTTAGAGCAATATTTTTACAATTTCGACAAATATTTAATTTACCAAGTTTTTGTAAATACAAAATTATATAATGAATTATTAAAAAGATAACAAAACTATTTTATCGTATGTATTTTTCTCTAAATTGACCCACCCTAAACAAAATCCTGGCTACGCACCTACAAGCAACGTTACAGTAACTCAATTAATTATTTGAATTTTGATTGTTATGTATAACTTAGGCAATAAAAATAATGGTAGTATGGGTAAATCCAACCCAAACATCACGAGTAACGAGCATGTATGGTTTTCTCAATATTCAAACTGAAACTGTCCGATTATATATGCATATCAACATTTTGTCTAACTAATAATATTTTATTTTAACATATACGGTATCCCTAATATATTTATAGCATTTCAAGAACTAGTGTTTTTTTTTTGTTTTTCTCTTAATATTGGCGATTTGTTATTTATATTTTTCACTTATGTAATGTTGATATACTTGTTAGTAACACTATAGTGAGAAGATAAAGGAAAATTCAAATACGTGAATATCCACAGATACCCAAAACACGATTGGATATAAGAATGGTTTAAGTTACTATCTGAATCTTGCATGAGTGAGTATGGATAAACCCGAACTAGTTAGGCTAGGGTAACGGATGACCACTATCCATCACCGATCCGATCCGTTGCTAATCTTACTATGGATGGGGTATTACCCGTCCCTATCGCTGATAAGATCGAATAACACTAATGACGTGGGTTCAAATTGCCATCACTGATCAAAGTCATTCTATTGATTCAGTTTCTCCATTGGCATAAGCAATCAACCCAAGAGAATTATAAACTAATTCGTTTATGAACCTCATAGTAATATCCTAAAATCAGGGGCGGACCCACCTCTTAGTGAGGTGTGTCACCCGACACAACTTCACCCGAAATATTTGTGAGGAACACATATTCTTTTGGTATAAAAAATTTGAACACTGGACCTCCGATACACCTTCGATAATTGTATTCTACACACCTTATTTACATTACAAATTTTGTGTTGTCATAACGTTATTAAAATATGTGAATATAGGAGTTATTGGACTTGAGACTAGTTAGTCAATTAGTTGGTTGTAGAAGAGTAAACAATTAATTGGTAGTTACTATACGTAGTGAGTATTTAGAGAGATAGCTATCACCTTAGAGATAACCTCGATAATTTGAATGCGAATTAAATTGATTAATAAGCTGGTTGAGTCAAGTAATTAGATAGTGAATTCCATACCATTTTTCCTCGTAGCTGCTTCCATAGATTTTTCTTAAAGTTAATTTTCAACTTGCTTTCTAGTTTAGTTATTGCTTTCCACGTTGGTGCCTGTCGCCACCCTCCAGTTGTTGGCGTCGTACCGACGACATCCTCATTCTCATTTAAACTTCTACGTTGACGCCTGTGGCCACCCTTCCAGCTTTCCCATGTAAAATTAGTGTTGACTTTACCTCTTGCAACTGCAAGATACAAAATGATATTTTTCATATATGAGCTTAATCAAGAACGATATTTGGTATCAGTTGAGTGATCAATTTATGAATAATTATTTAATTGTATACATAAAAAAGATTTCATTTGCAACATAATGGACAAATATAATTAAAAAATCTTTCAGAATATGAAACTTCCTTGTGATTCACTGTAAAAAATAATAAAATTGGTGAACTTATGAATACAATTTTTTATTTATTTCTAATTACCTATTTATTTTTAATTTAATTTATTATTTAATTTTAGCTTATTTGATGGGCCGACACACTTATCTCAAAATCCTGGGTCCGTCACTGCTTAAAATATTCCCATCGTTCGATCGAAAAAAAATCGAATTACAATCAAAACTCATCATAAAGATATGATAATATGTAGACATTGTTCCATTGCTATGAGAAAAGGGACAAGAAAATAGAGGAGAACATTAGATAGATCACATTAAGCTTAATAATATATCATTAAGTCAAATTAATTAATAGACTATACTAATCAGACGTCTATGTCGATTGCCATGTTGCTTCTCTAGGATAAGCCTGGACGCCCCTTCTAATGTTATTCTTCATGTCTGTACAACACAAACGTAAGCAGTCAACATAACAATCCAACCAATCACAATGTTACAGTAAAATTTAAAAGCCCAAAACGGATTGGGTCAAGCCCAACCCAATTTTTTTTACTATCCATTTACCTTTTCATGGTGGCTATAAGAATGGATTTGTTCTTAATCCCTATGTCGTGGCGGAGTAAAGCCCACTTCTTCCTCGGCGTCGTCACCGCCAACAACGACCTCCTCTCCACTACCAATTGCGACGGGCTCTCGCTTCCTTCCGCGTCATCGTTGGCAGCGGCTCTTCTCACCACCACCATCTTCCTGGAGCCGCTTCGGTGTTGTTTCCACGACTACTCCAACTTCTTTGCCAACTCATCTTCCTCCTCTTCCTCTTTGCCCAGCTCCGCGAATTTGCGTAGCAGCTCGTCCAATGATCTCTTAGTGACGTGCTGCACTGAAGCAGTGGCGGTTGCCACCAATACAGGATCGACAATTGTGTCCATTGTAGTAGGTGGCGAATACATATAACTTATTAGATCAATTCAGAGAGAGTGAGGGAGAGATAATGTGTGTGCTTGAGAAGAGAAACAATGGAAGGGGAAGAAATGGGAATTATAAGGGAGCAAAGGAAGGGAGTTTTCAGCAGTGGAGGGGAAGAGGACGATGATAGATTGGTGGGAAATGTAATGTTCATATTTGAATGATTATTTTATTTTGGGGACTGTTGTAATGTATAGTATAAGGATGAGAATATAGGAGTTAGGGAGGGGTGCTGAAGGGGAGGAGCCTCTAAAACATAATAAGGACAAGTTGTTGGAATTGATTTATGAATTAGTTCCAATGACCCCAAAATAAGAGTAAAGTTTCCCTAAACATTTTAACTTTTTTTTCATTTTGGGCATAGAGCATGAATTTGCGATAAAGAATCATTTTTTTCTATATAAATAGTTTAAAATATTAAATTTTGGGGATACCATAAAAAAGTTCATTCCACAAGGGAAACATTTATCACTCCTGTTTGTTGACTACAAGAAGGGGTTACCTAAAATACCTTGCTTGGAACCTATAACCAATAGATGTAGTAACAATACATAAATAAACCCAAAGATGGTCCCAAGCTTGGTTTCAGGTTACCTAAAATTAAACCCACTTCATCAATATCCAGATGAAGGGAGGGGCATATTGCAAAAGAGAGTAAAAGAAACTCATGTGTGTGTGACCATATCATCGTCATATGAGCTGAACTCAGCTTCAAAGCTTACAATGTGAATTGTGACACTACAGATTCCTCAAGTTCAGAGGCAACAACAAATCAAATCGGTAACAATCATTACCAAGATTTTTGGTTGAGAAGTCTTGCATAGAAAATTTCTAGGATGGTTTAGATAGAAATTGGCCATGTAAGTAGTTCGGTAAAAAATTAAGAGTGTGGATCTATGTACCATGATAGTGACTCTAGTCTCACATAACTCAAGTATGAAAATTGATATGATCCCAATTGGATCATTCTACAAGTTTTTATTGCTTGTTCCAGAAGCAATTTCACCAACTAACAAGAACTCTCAAATTTGGTTAAGTGTTGATTCTGTTTCAGGAAGCTTACTTTGCATGCCTATTTCTCACGTTTGGCTTGATGGAAATGAGAGATTAAAGGTTTGTTTTGAAGATGAAAAGCTTCTCTACAAGATGGAGTGCTTGGGTGCTCGAGGGAAAGCCATGAGGGACATTTTTCAAGCCTTCCAAAAGTTCAACCCAAAACTAGAAAACTGTCACAATTTGGCTAAGGCAGAAAACGTGTTCATGAAGTCTACTTTGGAGCTCAATTCGAGAAGATTGGTTGAGATTCGAGTCAAGTGGATTGTTCCACATGAAAGTAGGTGTTTTCTACTACAACCTAAGGGTATTGGATGAAAGGAGACATATCTCGAAGACTTCAAACGAAAGCAAACAAGATCGCCTGAAGTTTGTCCAAAACTATCTTATTTACCAGGAAATCCGAATCCTTCTCGGATTAGGATTACTTTTACCTTTGTTGTTTGCAATTTGAATTCCAAATTTCTTTGTGTTTTGGACTTTCGTATTAGTTTGTTTAGCTAGACTAAGTCTATTTAAGTCTTTCAATTGCATTGTAATAGGTAGATTTTCGTTCAATTGAATACAAACCAGAGTTTGATTCATCTAGCTTTGCTACTTGAGTTGATTGAACAACTTAGAAAGAGTTCTATGTTGTTTGAAGCTGCAATGGCGGCTCAATTCAACACGACTGAGCTCCTACAATCCATAACCGCACATATGGGTGCAATGTTTCAGGCCCAGTTCGAAAAAATCGAACGACAGCTGGAACAACAAGGACAGAGGCTTGATGCCCTATTTCCGGCTGCTACGCAGGGTCATCGCCGCAACAGAAGGTAATTCTGGCCACTTATGAATTTACTGACTACGCCGCTCAATGGTGGGAACAGGTTCAACTCCGACGACGGAGAAATTTGCAACCTGAAGTTGATACCTTGGGAGAATTACGGGACTCATGAGGGACAAATTCGTGTCAGGCTACTACCATCGAGAATTGCATGAAGCACTTCAATTCTTTAAGGCAATCGATCTATAGACGATTACTTCAAGGAATTGGAACTGCTCATGATGCGAGCTGATGTACGAGAAGATAAGGAAGCCACACTCTCCAGGTTCCTTCATGGGTTGAATCGTGAAATCTACTACGAAGTTGATATCCGTTCCTTCGTCGAACTTGAAGAAACAGTTCACCTTGCCGTCAAGGTTGAACGACAATTGAAGGCAGCTTGATAGGTCAAAAGCGTATGCCTTAATCCTATCTTGTAGTAAACCGGAAAGTCTGGGTATCGTCTCTCAGGGACTGGTACAACCTTAAGTTCTATCAATCTTATAGAGCAAACTATAGGTGACAATGGTTTAATGAAACTAATTATCTAAAAACAAAATAAATTGATTAAGCAAAGTAAAACGGTCGGGAGAAATTCAATGGAGAAAGCTCTGGGAGAAACACCGGGACTCACTACCTATCCTATCCAGATTAATTCACATATTCCAATCAGTTTAATCCATATCAATACTGCCAGGATATCACAACTGTGCTAGCTATCCCTGTCGGGAATTACTACGTACTAAGCAATTAATTCAAATCCTACTGTCGTAGCTCAATGAGTTAATTATTTAGTCTGAAGACCGATATCCTATTTAAGACCGCATAGCACCTTATTTAATCCACTGTCGCTTCGATAAGTTACTATGTCACATGAAATAGGTTCAGTTATTAGGGTTTCACTGTCGCTAATAACCTAATTAACTACAAATCATTGTATTGGTGGCCAGTCAACACAAAGCATTAAGAAATTTCATGCAATAGAGATTGGAAGAAAAGAATCATAAATCAATCCATCAAATCAAGAAATAGCTACATCCTATGGTGTTTCCCCCAGAAATCGGGGTTTAGTTCATGATGAAATTGAGATAAATCATTAGGGTTTTGTTCATCATGTTCTAAATCAACAATACACCACTAGTTCGGTTTAGAAAATCCAACCAACTAATCGCTCTCGTTGAACTCAGCTTAAACCGCCTTGAAAGAAGTCGATTGCCGATTGGCCTTGCTCGCGTTTGCTGCACTGCTACCTCTGCTTTTCCAAGAGCTCGGCTGCCCAAAGAATTCCACCAACCACCCAATCAAAATTTGCCTCCCTCTCGTCCAAATTAATTCCGCTCTTCCCCCTAAAAGTTCCGCCACCAGAGACCTTTAATTGCCTTCTGCTTCTTGGTCCTTCTTATTTTGTTCGCCCTCCTGCCTTTCTTCCCACAAGAGAATCCGTTCAATTTAATTCCTTCTCTCCAATTCCCCACTCCAAAATAATGGCCTGCCCAATTGCAGCCGCCCAAAATTCATTCTCTCTGCCAACCTAGATCTGCCCAAAATTAAGTTTCCAGGCCCAAAATAGAATTTGGTTCCCGTCCCCAGCCTTTGTCCAGTTTGTCTGGGCCTTGAGCCCAAGTGATTAGTCTACAAGTAGTTCGAGCCCGATTTATTGCCTGTGCACTCGCTCCTTTTTCGTGCTTTCTCCACCTGTATCATATCAAACTCATAGCACTAGGCAGTAATGGTTTTTTAACCAATCTCGGGTTAGCGAGCCCTAAAATAGCACCAATTGGCTAAAACATACCATGAATAATCACATAAAGTCCAAAAATTCAATATGTTAAAGTCGAATATCACAACCCCACACTCAATTGTTGCTTGTCCCTAAGCAACGACTCAAAAGACACACAGACCTAACAATCTATAACAATGACACATTACAGACTCAACACTCAAACACTCAAAGCAAAACACAAAATTTCCTTGTACTCTCGTTGTAATCAGTAGTTTCTTTCTCAACGGACAAGTTGTGCTCTAATGGTCATACCTTTCACCCCACACTCAAGGTCTTTGCAACCATTACCATTGACTGACTCAAATCCACCAAAAACTCAATCAGCAACACTCAATTCAGGTCGTCAGTAGCGGGTGATTAACAACTTATGGTGCAACAGTTATTAGGAGAATCTAACCACATCAGTGAGGTGCATATCTCGTGAGGACAATCTGGCTTACTCACACCAATCATAAGCAATTAATTAAGCATGAGTCTCAAAAACTTATGGGGGAAGCCTTTCGCAAACATGATTTTAACTTTAAGCACTTCACTACCTTTTATGACAAGGAGAGGCTTTCTCTCTTTCTGCTTTTGCTTTCCGAGAGGTCGTATTTAGTACAAGTGGGATTTGTTTCTTACTACCGGTGACCAAGCAAGAGCAATTTCTGCTTCTTAGCACTCGCATAAGGGCTTCTTTTAACTCCTTTTCTCGGTCCGTGTGGAGGGTCACTACATCCTCAAATGGAACTTCACTCAACTGGGGATTGTACTTGATAAGCAACATCGCACGGTCGCGAACCGATTCTCAATTGAATCTTTCCTAATCCCCATGTGCAATGAGTGATTGCCTCACACGATTTTGGCATTTTACCCACACTTTAATTGTTATGGCAACTTTCTTATCTTTTACTTGTTAGGTAGTGTTTTCTTTTATAAAGATACAGTTCACCCCATCATAAAACCATAAAAACAGAGAGACTCGTTGCAAAATCAAAAGCTCACAATTTATGCAAGTAAGCACGATATCCAAACATGTCGAATGGTCAATGTTCTCCACCTAACTACTTCACCAAAAGTCATTACACTATCCTCACAAAAGAGAATGTTGCTAAAAGAGTTTGCTCATTCAAAGCATATCAAGTCAGTCAAAACATTTAAGCTCATTGTGAAGAACCATGCAGTTCAACACTAGTGGGGTGATTTCGATGATTTACTTCAAGCACAAACTCATTTCACACGCATCACGGTCATTTACATCATGTTACCACAAGAGTACAAGGTTTTGTTTTTAATTTTTCTGATTTTAGGTGTTTTTTAGCCATTAGCTTTGCACAGGCAGCCTGCTTTTTACACAGGCAAACTGCATGCAGTTTGGCTGTGCTCAACCAAATGGTAATTTTTTTTTGGATTTTGTTTTTTGTTTTTACCACATGCAATAGGGACAAACAACACTAAGACTCACCACCCCACACTCAGGATGGAACATTGTCCCTAATGTTCAACTCCTAATCTAAACATGCACGGGTTTGACAAAAAAAATACTTACCTTGGGTTGCCTCCCAAGAAGCGCTTGTTTAACGTCCTCAACCTGACGTTCATGGAGCTTTCAACCAATGGGTATGGAAAGGTATCCAGCATACCCTCCCGAGCAATGA